TAGCCTTTTCCTAATTAATTGGGGTCGGCTACATGAATCCTTGTTCTCCATTCTTCTTTATTAAAGACCATATTCTTAATGAGGTCATAAGTCCTCGTATCTTTTCAGACTACTTCCAATCACGTCCTTTTGGGCCGACCCTTTGCCGTTTTCAGTCCTTCCACTTGAACTAATCCGCACTTCTTAACAGGTGTTGTACTTGGTCGGTGCCATATATGGCCAACCCATCTAAGTCTACTCTTTCATATTTTATCGCCTATTGGTGCCATGCCTAAATTCTCTTGAATAGATTCATTGTGAATTCTACCTGTTCTTGTCTTATCACTCATCCATATCAATATCTTCATCTCAGCTACACTCATTTTATGGGTATATTGTTCTTTTCCGCCCAACATTCTTCCCTATAAATCAAAGTTGGTCTCACCGTTGTCATATAGAACTTGTCTTTCATCCTTATTGGTATGCGGTGATCACATACAATTCTAGTTGCACATCTCCACTTCGTTCACTCAGTTCTAATTCAGTAAGCAACATCTTCCTCATTCTCTCCATTTTCCTCGATTATCGACCCAAGATATCGAAAGTGTGGTCTTTTTTGTACTTCCTGACTGTCAATCTTAACTACTTCCTCATCTCTACTCTCATTACTAAATTTACACTCCACATACTCTGTTTTAGTCCGACTAATTTTAAGACCTTTGGACTCTAGAAAATCCCTCCAACATTCTAACTTTGTCTTGATATTGTTTCGAGTCTCATCAATCAAAACTATATCATCTACGAACAACATGTACCACGGTACCTCATTATGTAGGTGTCTAGTTAAGTCGTCAATAACTAAGACAAAGAGGTATAGGCTCATTGCACCCTTGATGTAGACCTATTGTCACTAAAAACTTACTTGTATCTACACTAGTTGTTCGTACACTAGTAACCACTCCATCGTACATATCTCTCACCAAGTCGATGTAATGTCTAGAAGCAGATTTTTTTTCAACACCCGCCAAATCAAATCTCAAGATACTCTATCATAAGCTTTATATATATATATATACAGCTATAATGAATAGTAATATAGGTGGAATTCCAGCCGTCAGATCTTTATCCTGTGGTTCAAAATGCATATCACTACATAAATTTTAATATTTTTTCTAGAAATTGTATCGTACTGAAATTTTAGACTTGCGTACTAAAAAATAGGGGGCATACTTAAAAAAATATTAATTTTTTTTTCAAAATATAAAATGATCCAAATATCCCTGAAAAATGATGGGGGTAATTTGGTCAATTTAAATTATTGAAAATAGACTTTTATTATTATTTTTATATAGTGTGAAATAGTATTAGGTATATACATTCAAAATTTCATCTTAATCAGATTTATAGAAAAACAATTAAAATTCATATGGCGATATGCATTCTGAACAACATGATGAAGATCTTACGGCTATATAAATATAAAAAAGGATTTTCACGTATTGAACATCTAGGTATCTCCCATCAAGAATTAGATGGCACTTGAGAAATCTTGGGATGCCATTTTTTAAGGCACCTAGAGAATGAAAATGACTTATTTATGTCCTTTATTTTTTTTTTCTTCTTATTCGAGGTTAATTATTACATGCTTAGAGATTATATGACAAAAATTTAAGGATATAAGAAAATACTAGGAGAATGAATTTTGCCCAAAGGAGTAGATGGACAATATATACACTCTCGGAGGAGTACATCATGTCGATCGGAGAGGCCCATTCTCCTCCTCATATTCCCCGACTGCGCTGAGCCTATTTTAACCCCAATCCCCCACCCCTAAACCCTAAACCCATTTAAACCCCGATCCCCCACCCCTAAACCCTAAACCCTAAACCCTAAACCCATTTAAACCCCGATCCCCCACCCCTAAACCCTAAACCCTAACCCATTTGAAACCTCGGTCCCCTCTCCCAAATTCCTAATTTTTCTTTTCTTTCCCACTCCAAAAACCTCAAGACGTGCCCATTCCCCTTTCAACAAAGTGGCTCACGTTCCTCTATTGTGTCATTCCACCTTCAATGAAGGAGCTCATCTACTGTGCTAGTAATGCAACAGACATTCATGAAATACAATGGAAAGATATTGTTAAATTCTACACAGGTTGTGGACTATTTGGAGGTGCCATTACAGGTGGAGTGAAGGATTTAATCGAAGTACTTAGAGACATTGAAGATGGTGATACCCTTAAACTTAGGGCTAATAGGGTTTTGAATACATCACATCTCACAAGAGAGATGTATGCGTGCAAGTTTATTGCTAAAGGGATGATTTGTACTAGCTTAAAAATTGACATCACAGAATTTAAGCACACAGATCATATTTCCAATGGTAGTTTTGCTGGTTTTTGGACGAGGATTCTTTATAATGTCAAATCCAGGCCTGAGGCAACAGCATCCGCTAGGGTAATTGGGGGGCTGGCGGGTGGTTTGGGGAAGAAATATATTGCCAGTTGATTTCTCTTTACTTTTTGGTTTTTTTGGTTTATTTATGTTTGGACCTTCACTTAAGGAGGATTATTATTTTATGTTATTTTATTTTTTATTATGTTGGGTAATCTTGGGTAATCTAAGCCTTGATGCTTATCAAAGATAATATGTGGAAGAGAGAGCTAGGTTAACTTGTGTTATGGGTACATTGATTGATTACACATCTATGTACATGGGTTTCAAATTTTGGAGCTCATGTTGGGAAGGCGTGATTTTGTTGAGGTATTGGGATATTGTCTTTGTTGCTTTTGTTTTCGACATTTGTTTTGAAAGCAAATTACATGGGTTACTGTAGATGTATAAGCGGTTCACGTGCTCTTGTTACTTCAATATTTTTTAAGGGTTGAACTTTTTTTAGTGTGAAAATTATATTAAAGGATTCTCTCAAAAAATAAAAAAAAAATGGAAAAATTGGATTTCTGTGCTGGCAATATGTAATATTAGTGGGTTCTCAAATTTTTTCTTCGTATATGTGGGTATTTACATGTTTTTTGTTTCTAGTTAGTTATATTATTTAGTTGCTTAGCTATTTATGCTTTGTTCATGTTTCTGTTTTCACGTGCCGTATTGTAAAATCATATTGTAAAATATGATTTTACAACTTGACTAGTCTAGGCATTGGATGTTTATATTGCATCATTTTTCCATTTAAAATTTTAAAGATTAAACTGTTTTTTATGCAATTTGTTTATCCATATGACACCTAGTTCCAATGCTTCAAAAAACGGTAGGCGACACCTAGGCGGCCGGGGGATCCAGACCACCCAGAGCCTAGCGGGTGCCCAGAACCTGAGCGGCCCAGTAGAAAGAAAAATGTATGTAGTGTAAGTGTCTAAGGTTAACATTATAACTATATAACAGATAATTCATAATCCATACATTATAACTATATAACACATAATCTATAATCCATATTTCAATGAATGAGGAGAATTTAGATAGTCCATAATCTATATTTCCATACAATGTTAGAACCATACAAGCATACACACAAGAGTTAGATAGTAGAAACTAGAAACTGAAAAATAAAAAAAAAGAAAATATATTGTCTAAGACTCAATAGTCATCACCAAGAGTCAAGCATCTTCATTCTTCGGTCATCATCATAATCAGAAGGAGTTGGGTAAGCATCATCATAGGCATCAGATTCGAAATCATCATTATCACAACTATCTCCCTCTTCAACATAATGCTCGTCCTCCTCTATTTCCACGCGTGAGATGGGCTCCAATGATGAATATGACATGGACCCTCATCAATAGTACAATGAGCTTCCACACGTGAGAGGCAAGGGGCTCTTAAAGAAGGATTACGTGGGCCCCAAGGATGATCATGGCGCAACGATGGAGGGTCAAATATAATGACCATGTGTATACACGACATTTAGAAAAAACGGTAGGAGTCAAATGTCCGCTTCAATTCGACCTATGACGTCTGACATAGTTACTAGTACCCTAAACCCATTTGAACCTCGATCCCCTCCCCCAAATTCCCAGTTTTTCTTTTCTTTCCCTCTCCAAAACCGTCGTAACACGTTCATTCCGCCTTCAATGAAGTGGCTCATGTTCCTCTATTGTGCCATTCCCCATTCAATAAAGGAGCTCATCTACTGTGGTAGTGATGCAACAGATTTTCATAGAATATCATGGAAAGAGATCGTTAAATTCTACACAGGTTGTGGATTGTTTGAAGGTGACATTATAGGTAGAGCGAGGGGCCTAATTGAAGGTCTTAGAGCCGTTGTATATGGTGATACTCTATAATCCTTAAAAATATTTTTAAAAAAACACAAACCAAAAAAAGCCTCTCAACAAAATAGCAATTCCGCCCCTAAGCGGGACGCAGGTCCTGGACGTCCGCCTAAGTGGGTGTCCTACTGCCTAGGCAACCGCACAGGACAACCCGCCTAATTTTGCCTCCTAGTACTGGACGATGCGCTCAGACCTTCTAGACCGCATAGTCACTGGGCGGTCCGCTTTTTAAATCATTGCTTAGTTCAGTATTTAGTCATTTCTATTCATCATTCTTCTGGTTCAGCTGACTCATTTTCCCAGTAACTATTTCGGCACACCTTTGCCACTTATAAAAAAAAAAGAGGAAAAGCATTGCTAATACTAGCCAATCATACATGCCACGACCTTAATAGTTTTTTAAGCTTCCTCAAATAGCTTAGAGGTGTTCATTGAGTTGTTTAGATCTACTACTTACCTCAAAGGTGGTCGTCAGGTATGTGAGGTACATTAACTTGCAATAAAAATTGTTTTAGTTAGTATATATCTAAATATGTTAACTTGCATATTCCAAATTAAAATTGCACCTGAGATGGGTATGATATTTTAGTGGTAGTTTTCTGGTACATTCACCCTTGCAATGGGTATAGACCTGCATGCCTGAGATATTACTAGTGCAGCCACAATCACATGATGTCTGTTGGTTTCCGACAAAATAATCGTCTCCACCGGAGGGGCACAAATCATCAGTTTGCAGCAATCTATTGGAGGACACGCTTCATATACATGTCTTCACCAACAAGACCCTATTCAGTAGTATGTACCGAACCACTGGAGCCAAAGTTATAGGAACGCCTTCGACAAACAATACACCGGAGAACACGATTGGAGGCATTATGTGTAGCAGCAAAAACTTAGACGAGCCATGAGCTCGAGCAGCACACATGCTCTGGTGATGGGTGTCTCATATGCCGATGCAAGTGTGTGAAGTGAAAAGTGTGATATCAAGCGCCTATACGTCCTCACCCCGCCCTTGCACAAGCATGTTTGCATTCTTGTGCATGTCCTCAATTGCATTTGCACGCAGCGCGTGCTCCGCATAGGCCTTCTTTTCCTTTGGTTCTTAGACCACAATTGAAAATGATATATATATATTTAAACAAGGTTTCCCTCTGCCACATCTTCAATAAGGGATAAATAATCCATCACTTTGCTCTCTATATATCATCATCATCATCATCATCATTATCATCCGAGCCTTACCCAACTACTTGGTGTCAGTTATATGAATCATGTTCCGTCATTCTACTCTATTAGATGTCATATCCTCAATGAGGTCATAAGTCCTCATATTCTTTTGGATTACTTCCAACCACGTCCTTTTAGGGCTACCCCTTGCCCATTTCAATCCTTCCACTTAAACTGACTCACACCTCCTAACAGGTGATATACTAGGTCCGCGCCACACATGGCCAACCCACTTAAGTTTGCTCTATCTCGTCTTATCATTTATTAGTGTTATGCCTAAATTTTTTTGAATGAATTCATTTCGAATTCTAGTCCTTCTTTTCTTGCCACTCATCCATCTTAACATCCTTTTTTCCGCTACACTCACTCTATGGGTATATTATTTTTTGTCTATCCAACATTCCATCCCATAAAGCAAAGATAGTCTCACAGCTGTTCTATAGGACTTGCTCTTCAGTTTTATTGTATGTAACGATCGCATAAAACTTCAATTATACATCTCCACTTTGCCCACCCAGCTTTAATTCTATGTGCGACATCGTCCTCTTGGATTGTTGACCCATTCTCTTGGATTATTGACTCAAGATATCTAAACTGCGGTCTTTTTGTATTTCTTGACCGTTATTATTCTCAGCTATACTTCTATTATTACTAAATTAGCATTCCGTATACTTTATTTTAGTCCAGCAAATTTTGAATGCTTTGGATTCTAAAGCATCTCTCCAAAGTTTTGTGTTGACACGGTTTCAGGTCTCATCGATCAAAACTATGTCATTTATGAACAACATGCACCATGGCACCGGACTTTGTTGGTGCCTTGTTACGTCGTCCATAACTAAGACAAAGAGGTACAAATTCAATGCTGACTCTTAATGTAGACTTATTGTTACTAAAAACTCACTCGCCTCTCCACTAGTTGTTTGTATACTAGTTAGGCTTCATCGTACATATCTCTCACCAAGTCGATGTAGTGTCTAGAGATTCCTTTTTTTCCAACGCCTGCCAAATCAAATCTCGGGGTACTCTATTGTAAACTTTCTCTAGGTCAACAAAGACAATATGGAGGTCTTTTTCCTTCGCCCTAAACTTTTCAATCAGTTGCCTAAATAGGAAAATAGCTTCAATTGTTGACCTTCATAGCATAAAACCAAATTGGTTTTCAGAGACACTCGTTTCATGCCTTAATCATTGCTTTATGGGGGTATTTTGGTCAATTTATATTTTACGAATTATTTTTTTCATATTCTTATTAGGTGCTTCTCACTAAGATGTACACACGTTCCAAATTTCAAATTATTCCAATTAATAAAAAAAAAGAAAAATGAAACACTACCGGACAACTGTGACCGTGCGATAAAGTTTAGATGGTGATGAGGGTAGGCGAAATCACTATTTATTTTCGCCTATAGGCATTTTATAGTATATTCCATATATATATATATATATATGAAAATGCTCATGTAGGCTTGTTCTCGCATAGGAAACCAATGAGCCCAACGGCTCAGATCATGTCATCTTGTTTGAACGCCTAAGATAATGCCTGGCTGATTGACCGCATTTCAAATTTTAAAAACCCTATTTAATGGGTTGTCAGGTACCTGACACATTATGCAATGCCCTATTGTATCGTCTCTCTCGTTCTCTCTTATCTTACCTTCTCGCCCTTCTCACCCTCTCTCTCTCAGCTCAACATCTCTCTCTACAGGTCGTGCCCCCCTCTCTCTACAACCAGGTTGCTCTCTCCATCTCTCCCGTTCTCTTGCCCATCTCACCCTCGCATTGCTCACGTTCTCTCTCAAAAGATCTCACCCTCGCACTCTCTCCTATCTCACCCTCTCTCTCTACAACCATTGGCCTCTCCCTCTCAGCTCTGATAATAAATGCATTTGAGGGCTCTCCTTGATTCCCAAATATCTAAATTATACTCCCTTTAGCAATAGCAGTATTTTGGAACAAAATTCAATTTTTTTAGTTGAGATTTGAAGGAAAATGAGAAAGAATGACGAGTTAGGGCTTTTTGTTCTTGTTTTTAATTTTATTTTTGGCTTGCGATATTTCTACCTCTGTAACTGAAGGTGATGCCTTGTATATGCTCAGGAGGAGCTTATCAGACCCAGGTAACGTGTTACATAACTAGGATCCGACCCTAGTTAATCCTTTCACTTGGTTTCACATCACCTGTAACCATGACTATCGTGTTACCAGAGTGTGAGTTTTTCTTGTTACTTTTGGTTGTCTTGTAAACTTAGGTTACTGTTTTTTTGTTGTTTTAATAGCTAATATTGTTTTCATTATCTGTTGTTTGTAAAACTGTGATTTTATTAATCAGCTTGTCTTTGTTTTTTCATTTTCTCTTTAAACTTTTTCATTGGGTTCTATATGGAACATATGTTTTGGTTTTGCCCTTTTCCATCTTAATGTTAGATAATGGCATGGTGAAGTCAATAAATTCATTTAAAATATGGAGTTCAATGATATGGAAACTAGGAAACATATTTAGTGTTCAAATATATTGGATTTGATTGCACACATCTTGTATTTGGCATTGTTCACCATGTTTGTAAATCGCTTAAGTTCTAATAACCTCCCTTGCAATTGTGCCATGTGTTACATCTAATTGTTAAGGGGTATATTTTATATTTATTCTCGATTTGTACTGTCGTTCATGATTTAGTTAGAAATGGCTGATTCATTTATATAAGGACATGGTTGAATTTTTTTTTGGAATATTGTTTAATGTGGTGTGGACCGTATTTTTACATATGTGATCCATGAGGTATAAAGCATCCATCTTACTGATGGATGCAAATAGGTGATCTGTCTAAAAACAATTGAAACTAACGGTTCAAATATTTTTTTAGTAGAATTATTATTTTTAATTTTCAAAACTTATTTATTTAAGAGGTGACTCATCTCTACTTGGACTCGTAAAAACTGTGTCCTTTTTTTTTGATGTGTTATTCATCTTGTAAACATGCATTCCTGAGTCAAAAGTGGATAAAAACATTATAAACCTAGTCTTATAGTGTACCATGAAAAACATCATTTGTTAAATGGAAAAATTACAAAAACTCCTTTTGACCCAAATTTGTTTACAGCCTACCCCAAATAACTTTTTTTATCGCAACATTTACCTCAAAACAAACTTTTCTAACAAATAGCCCTAGCCAAAAAGTTCTTGTTTTTAGAACCAAAATGCCCTTCTCTCTGCTAACACACAAAAAGGCGGTCCAACAGTATAAACAAGCAGTCCGGCAACATCCCAAAATGATCCGATACTGACAAAGAACGGTCCAACAATAAGCTCGTGCAGTCTGGCACTGCCAAAGAGCAGTCCGACAATAGACTCATGCAATCCGGCAATAGGCCCATGAGTTCTAGCAACAGGTCCAAAGTGCGGTACGACAATGTCAAAGAGCGGTCAGATACTTTTTTTTAGTTTAACGGGATTCAACCATTGGTACATGGCGATTCGGCAGCCCATGTAGCTTTTAGTACTGTACGTAAGCCCACGTAAATGTCCGACCAAAATTATTTTTTTGTACAAAAAGGGTATTTTCATAAATAAATAAAAATGCTTTTTTTTTTACTTGGGTGTATTTATTAGGAAAGTATATTATGAGGTAAAAAGTGGGAAAAAGCTTAGTTTAGGGTAAGTTGCATAACAAGTTTACTATTGAGGGTTATTTGTAATTTTCGCTTTTAAAAGGCATTGTTCGTCGTTCCTTTTTCTTTTCATGGGAATAATTACCTTGTATCATTATAAAGTTCTTCATTCCCATAACAAGCCCTTGATAGTGTTTCCCTTCTTTTTTTTTCTTTTTTTTTTGTTTGCCTTAGAAAAAAATTTGAACAAGGGTTCAACTATAGAAGGAGGCGGTTAGCATGCGGCCAAGCCCGCACATGTAGAAATGCGGGCACCTTAATAAATTTATTTTTGAAATAGAATACCATCCGAATTTTGGAGAATTTCTCTATATATAGTTCCCATTTTTTGAATCCATATCTAAAGAGGCCTAAGGTTTCAAAACTTTTCTTGAAGCACAGAGCTCCAAATTTTTGTATTTTCCAACCCGTGGACCCAAATAACTCGTTTGACCACATATTTAAATGATACATTTTTCTTTTGGGTGCAATTGGCATACGGATGCAGCCGTAGCTGTAGAGGTAAGGTGTACCGTCAAATTTTATCATGATAGATAATTTTGATGTAAAATGTTTTTAGGATTATCTCAAAATCTATTTTTATATCTAATTATAAAATTTTTAAATTTTAAAAATGGTTAAAATCAATTAGATCTATAAACATATGAAAATCTTAAAAATAGACGGTGTAGATAATATGTTGTGAAATGCACTATTTCTAAGACTAAAAATATTTTTATTTTTCATGGTCATATATCTCAATGTACGAGATGATTAATCAAAAGGTTTTTCAACATTAAAATGACTTTTTCCGATAGATTTTTGAGATGCATCTGAAGTTCTACATTATGAGGTTGCATCCTCGTATATACTTTTTCTTTTTCTTTTTCATCTTAACATCCCTCTTTCTCTAAAACCACACTCTCTTTCTAGAATCATAGCGCCCCCTCTTTCTCTATAACCTCACTCTCTCTCTCTCTCTCTCTAGAATCATATCACCCTCTCTTCGTCTAGGATTAAAACCTCCGACCTCCATCACCACCAATACACTCCGCTACTTGTATTCAATTTTTTGGCCACCCCATTACTGAGATCAGTCCAAAATATCTCGTTTTGGCCACTGGTTCTCTATGATAAACCAGTATTTTTGCTAATTTTCAGCCACCCACTACTATGAGTCTCTCTCTCTCTGGTTCTCTATATTTCTCTCTCCAACAATAAATTGTTGCTCTTTTTTGCTCGCCCCATTCTCTATATTTTACTATAAACCACCATTTTTTGCTATTGTCAAGTCATCCCATTGCCACTTTCTTTCTCTCTAGAACTCTCATCGTCCACCCAACTAGAATGTCAAGGAAATTACAGGCTTTCTTGTTTCATCTTCTAATACATTATCTGTTCCTTTCATTTTCATGATTTTCAAATGTTTATAGATTTGTTTGATCGTCACTATTTATGGAACTTCGAATTTCATTATTGAGGCAACAGAAAATCTTCATATCATTTCAAGGTTTTGTGGTACCGAAACGGCATTTTCGGCATAGTCTTGAGGCGCACCTTACTTCAATAATGTAAGGTTGGCAGAGAAATTATCTCGATAACATATGCGCACTATCCTCCCCAGGGAGTATAGAATATGCTCTTTGGCAAAAAAGCAAACAACAAATAATTGTTACCGTTAGAGAAAAAAAAGATACTCTCTCTATCACTCATTCCCTTTCCAACGTCTCTCGTCTAACCCTACATTTCGATTTTTTTAAACCCCTCATTCACAGGCCCAACACCCTGTTTCTCTCTTGTCTCGTCGCTCCCCAATTTACATCTCTCTCTCAGAACTTCCAATTCTCCTCTCACCCAAATCACATCTCTCTCTTCAAATTTTCCAATGGAGAAAGACCTTACAACGGACCCAGAAATATGTCCCAGTTCAGAGACAACACAAACACCAACACTGCCTACAATGGCAGTCGAGAAGGATGTCACTCCACAGGACCACCGCATAATTCGAATTCCCATCGAAGATGGAAGAAACAATAGCCCACCAATCCTTGCTGAAGTGCCAAAACAGAGGACTTTCAGATTTCCGGAGAGGTGAGCTCTAAAGAGAAACTCGAAATTTGCAGAATCTTATCAATTATTTGATTCCTTGAGAGGGAAAAGAGGTGGTATTTTTGAGCCGTACTAAAATTCTCTCTCCAGAATTCTAGCGAGTCACATGTAGGGCAACAGTCACAAAGCAAGGGTGGCTAGGTTCTAGAGAGAGAGAGATCTAGGTTTTAGAGAGAGATTATTTGCAAATTCTCTATTGATGATGGTGTATATGCACTTCTCTCAAAAACCCAGCAGGATATTGGACCATCATGCATAGAGCATTGAAGCAGAGCCTTTTCTATTATCTTGCTTTTGCCATTGTCTGATCTCTCTCTATCTCTCTCTAGGTACAGGAGCCCAACAGATCTGATGGTCTCCCCTGTGTCGAAAGGGTTACTGGCGAGAAACAGAAAGCACGGGATCATCTTACCTCCGACAACAAATGCTTCAAAGGCATCATCAACTACTCTCTCTTTTAATTTTTGTGATAGAGAGGGAGAGAGAGAGAGAGTTTTCTTGTTGTGCTTAACTGCTTATGTTGGTTAGTTCTTATGCATGCTGATGTTGGTTTATATTGTATTCTGCACAGATTCTGGAATCGAGCTTCAAGGATGTGGGGCTGTTGCCGATTTGATTCTGAAATCGTGTTTTGGGGTTCTGTCACTGAAAACCACATGCCTTTCCATGCTCTGTTTACTCTTCATAATTATCAGAATTATTTTACTTATTGAAATTTCTCCTCAATTGTTTTTGTATTTTAATATTGGCAAATACAATGCTTTGCAGTTCAGAAGAAATTCTATGGGAGACAAAAAAAAAAAAAGGATTTGCTCCGTAATATAAGAAACACAAGTCAATTTTCGTCGCTTGTGATAGTAGCCCAGGTCCAAGGAACATGCTGAAAATTGCTAAATGGCTAAAATGTTTTGTGTAGAGAGAGAGAGAGATGACAGAGTTCAGAGAGTTCAGATACCACTGATCAAATTCCAACTGTCCAACACCTGAAAACTGAGAACACGTTCAATGGCATATACTCAACAGTATGCCATCACTTAAAGAAATATTAGATGACAGTTTCACAATTTATAGAGAGAGACAGAGAGTTGGTTGTGGGTGGTATGGGGAGGTTGTCAACACTCAACACAGGTCAGACACATGAAAACAGACCATATTCATAGATCGCGACAGAGATGCATTTACTTCATGACAATTTCACAGTTTTAAGGAGAGAGAGAGAGAGAGAGGAAAAAGAAAAGAAAGAAAGAAAGAGAGAAATTTCAATAGCTCAGATGAGACACCACGTATCAGAATCCAAGAAGCAAAAAATCTGGGCATTCAATACTACATTCGTAGAATGTAACATGTATACATCATGCCAATTTTGTGAGAGAGAGAGAGAAGAGGAGGTGGGGGAGGGGGGGAGGGAGGTGGTTTCTGTGACAGGTCAGAGACAACATTCAATACCATATACATAGAATGTCATGGTAGATAACAATTTAAAGAGCGTAGGAAGAGAGAGAGAGATGTATATATAGAGAGAGAGAGAGAGATTTCACAATTTTCCAAGGCAAGCTAATACTCATTCGAGTCGAACTTCATACCACTGTATGGAACCAACATCTCCATCAATCTCAAGTTCGCAAACTGACTTAACCAAGTGGGACACAGCATCATCGATGTCTTTGAATCTTGCAAGATCAGGTGGTAACTCTTCGCCAGGCCAGTTCTCAAGCCAAGCTTTCAGTCTTGTCTTTAATTCATCCTCTGATACAAATTCCTCGCTTTTGCCTGGTTCCATTAGGACATAAGTGTCTGTCTGCAAATAAGCTCTTCTCCTCCGAATGGCTTTCACCTGTCATTTTTTGCGATGGGTTGATTACAAATCAAATGAATGGAAATCTAGTATTTATAGAGAGAGAGAGAGAGAGAGAGAGAGAGAGAGAGAGAGATTGAACAGAAACTATTGCGTAGGAAACGTGGTTTTAATTTGAGAAAGCATATATGGCAAAGCAAAGAGCAGTGCAATTGCCAAGGTGTATTGAATATTGCAATATAATTGTTGACTGTATCAGCGAGCCTAACTATTACAATTGTTATCCACCAACCAACAGACCATGAAATTCGGTTGATCTGAATGGTCATTTAATAATTTCTCGAAAGTTCAACAAAGAAAATGTCCGCTAATTGTTAGTACTTTGAACTACTACTGGATCAAAGAGTTGAAAACTCAAACTAATAGTGCTCGTATCTCTCTCTCTCTCTTTCTCTGTTCCCTTCATACTGATCCCTCTGTTCTCTGCATACCTATCCATGAAAGCCTTCTAGCTTATCAAGTGAATTGCTCCTAGTATTATACATATTCTTATGAAAGAAGTTTCTTCGTGATGCAACTGGACTGCAGGTAAAATTAATTGGGAACTTGTGAACATGATCTCATTAACCTCTAGAGAAAACTAAACAGAAAATTAGATCAAAGGAAGAAATGCCATCATCTCCGAAAAGGCAATGAACTAAAAGGTGAAGGGGTGCTTTGCTAGTGACTCCACTGTTGGAATTAACACACAAGGATTTTAAATTATGAGATGGATATCATCAAATACTGTGTAAAATAACAACTAAATAAATATTCTTTGTTTTTTTCTATGGGAGACGTGAGAATGGAATTTGGTTGCATTATAGGGATGGAGCATTGAAGCTATGCCATAGCAGTTCGTAAAGCTTGTTTCAGAAATGGGATGAAATAATTTTCCTTTTGGTTGAGCTAAAATTACTTGTACATGTCAAGGACTTGATGAAACTAAAATAAATTACAACCCTTAATTTTGTCACACCGTGAGCAGAGGATCTCCATCTTCTACAGACTATAGCCCCCACACAAATATTCACACATTTAGTCAAGTATTTATATTGGCTGACAAGTGAGGACATATTTATCTTGGCTTCACTAGTACAAAGAAAGATATCTACTTACATATGCATTTGAACTAGCTTTCTACATGACAATAAACAATCATCATTAAAATATCTAAGATTATTTCCCATTAAAATAAGGAAAATACTAATATATGTTGTTATTTCCAGAAAAATTACCACTAATAGAATAATAAAACCATAAAGAAAAAATCAATATTTGCCCTTTATCACAAAGTACCTATTAGAACTCCAAAAGCAAGCCAAATTTGAACAAGTCAACATCAAGTAATTAGAGACAAGGACATGATGATCTGTGTGTTCCTCTCTAGTTTAACTAAGACCATTTTCCAAAATTGTTGTTTCCAGAAATTGGATGTATTGCAGATGTGCTTTTGTATGATAGCATTAACATAAAAAGAAACATGAATCAACTATTGGTTGGAAGAAACTTGCCTGTACAAAATGTTTTCCATTTCTAATTGCTTTTGGCAGCTCTAAATCAACCATGCAGTCCAGTCGAGTAACATAAGATCCTGGCATTGATCTGCGAAATGGAACCTGAATATGACATCTTGGAGAATGAGAACCTACACAGAACCAAAAGCACATATTTTTTAGAGACTAAAAGAGTGAGAATTTACTGTTTACTTTAAGCTGCATATATCATTTAAAAAGCTGTGCCAATTTCACATGAAAAAACTAACAAGTTACGGAAACTTTTATGCATATGTTGAAACTCATACCAAAAGAAAGCCCAAGCCAATATCCTTTTTATGCCAATGGAACTTATATGAATAACTACACCTAACAAATATAATAAGCTTAACTTGCCCAAGGTTGACTATTCATAGCATTAAAAACACTGAAATTTTACAAAGAGTGCGATGTAACAGCTGTCAACATAAGAAAAATTTAGAGTTACCAAATCCATCTCAAACAGAATAACATAAATGATATTATGAGGTTCATCCATCATCCATCATATAGCAGCAAGCATGATTTCCTAGCAACCTTAAAATAAGGTGCCACTGATATAGTTCACATGAAGGACTTATACATTGGATCTATTTTGAAGGTTCATCATCATCATCACCTGAGCCTTATCACAACTATTTAGGGGCGGTTACACAAATCTTGTTGCGTTATTGTAGGTTTAGGATTCATGAAAAGATGTGGCAAAGTTTTTCGCTGGCTGCCTACCCAACACAACCCTCCTCCGTTATCCAGGCTTGGACCAGCCATTGGGTCGATTTTGAAAGTTGAATACCAATATTTCCAAAATCAATAATGGCCCTTTCTACAACAAGATTGTCAAAATGGGTGCATTTTGAAGTATCCTTTCTCCCCAAGTTGTCTGGAATGACATTGCCTTCGTCTCTCCATACTTCAAGGGCCTTATGAGCCAGTTTGAGCAAACTCTGCCTTTTTATAGTTGGTTTCAGTGGCCTAACACTAGATACTTAAGCCAACATTGGCAGCCTGGTATTGAAGCCAATATTGTTTTGAGTGAACCTAGCCTCATTATGTGAAAGAGAGGAGCTAAGCTCTTCAAACATATAAGCCTTTGATCTAATTATGCTGAATGCTTCAAATATATGGAAAATTATAATATAATCAGATAGATGCCAGAAAACCAGAGCCAATTGTTATCATTACCATCCAATGAAGTGCTAGAACGTAGTGCAGAGAGAGTAGGACCCAGCATCTGCTTCATGTCCGATTCTGATGAGTCCGATCTCTTCCAACCACTATACATCAGTTCATTGGGCTGCGATGATCCAATGGTTTATGAGTAGTCCAAGGGACAGTGGCACACATTCCCTTCGTCTCATCCATTGGACTATTGCATACACCAGGACACCCTTCAATGCATGATATCCTTCACCAAGACCATGAAGAGAATGTATACACTACAGAACTTCTTAGTGACAATCTGGAATTCCAGTTACAATCAACCAATCTGTTACAAAATTAACTCGGCCACAGAGAACAATGTTAGCTAATAACTACAAAAAAGTCAATAATACCCATATGCATAAATACCATGCTTTTAATATGGTGGGATGGCAGGAAAATCACAAATGCGATTAACATTTTCTTTAGGAGAGGGTCTTGTTCATGGAAAAGTAGAAAGACATGACGGCTTTTGCATGGAAAAAGGTGTATAGACATGACAGCACAGCCATCCATCTTATGTGGCTTAAAACTCACGACTGAGTTTTGGGATTCATTAGGCATTCTTAATCCATTTATCTAAGATGGTTAACAATGGGTAACACACCTGATAGAAATCATAAAATTCATCAGGAAGAAGGAAAAGCAGTTTGCGTTCTTGTCAAATTCAGTGAAATTGAATCTGAGGAGTTTCATAATTAGATAATACAGAAAAGAAAAGAGGTTATTGGGATTCCATAAAAAGTATTCCATCTAAAAAGAAGAATGAGCTCTTTTGTTAACTAAAGAAGCAAACTGCACATTTGTGGTAAACATAGCGATAACATAACCACAATTCCCATTAGCTAAAAGGATTTTTCGTTTCCAGCAAACTTCGCATAATATGAGTCGTGTTAAAAAGAATAATAAATATAAAGACTTGGATTTGATGGGGCAAACCGAATCATCATAAACCAACTTTGAAACACGATCAATAGTTGGTCAGCAGCAACAAATTAGACCATAATACTAATACCCATCCTTTTGTTTTGATAATTGGAATTTAATACCTTAAACTTCAACCACAATCCAAGTTAAAAGCAAGAAGCATGACTCCTCCAATAAGAAGTCATACAAAGGTTAACAACCCCATCAGCAAGTCTAGGAATATGTCTGAAGGAAATCCTCCAATGTGAGAAGACTCATTCTACTTCTTTTTTCTCTTTTTTTCCATTATTGAAGGAAATAAGCATGAAAGCTGACTTGGAAGCTAGGGACTGAAGACGAAGAGGTGACAGCATGAGCATAAGACGCCAAATCAAGAAAAATAAACTTCTAAAATTTGCCCCAACTGGGTCTCGAAGAATTTCAACGAGTATATGTTGCACCTATCTCCAAACCATTAAATTTTCAAGGAAGTAAACCATAAAAAACAGCATTGGTTGGCATTGATAACCAATGATACATTAACAACAACAAAGGAATAATCAAGCACAAAGGTTTAGCAGCGATTATTTTAAATTCTATTTGAATTCCAGGAAGCTGCTCTATGATAGAGGGAGATATAAATATATCCAATATTTGCATGCTTTTCTTACCCTAAAAAATATTAATGTAAAACTAGTAATTCAATTCATTTATCAAAACTTAACCTGATAAAGCCCCATTCAATATTCTCAACTGATAAAGAAACAGGGGACCTGTAACAAACCAATGAATTAAACCTAGTTTGTGCGTACTAGTTGCAGAAGAAATAGTCCAAAAAAGTAACTAATTAGGCCAGGCAAGAAAAATAACGAAATTCATCAAGGACATATATTTGTATTATCATAAGAAAACTACTTTACTGTTCACAAGTTGCAGAGTTGCAATCGGAATAAATAGGATTTATGGGTGGCTGAAACAGCAGTAAAGAACTGTTAATAACTGACCCTCATTTAAACCCAATCGATTAAAACCGTTAGGAATTGAAGAACTATGAGATAACTGTTAATAACTGACCCTCATTCAAACCCAATCGATTAAAACTGTTAGGAATTGAAGAACTATGAGATAGGCAATAAATGTAGTGCTTCAAATTTTAGAGGAAAATACATACAAAACAGAAAATACCTCCACATGCAACAGATTATATTCTCTCTCTATAATGTGAGAGAAGGTCCTTCCATGGAGAGTCAGGAAGTGCATGTATTAACAGTGGGATCTCGTGTAGCGTGGCCAAGAAAATTTGGAATAATATCTTATCATTTCTACTATATAGTATCTATTATTGATTTAAAAAAGGGAAAAGTTTATATAAGGCTGCAATCTTAAAATGTATAGCTACGGATGCATCTCATAAATCTATCGAAAAAAGTTGTTTTAATATTAAAAAACCCTTTAATTGACCTTGATGACTATAAAAAAATATTTGGAGTCTCAAAAAATGAGCATTTTACAACATATTATATGGATGATCTATTTTCAAGATTTTCATATATTTATAAATCTACTTGATTTTAATCATTTTTGAAGTTTCAAATTTTATAATTAAATATAAAAATAGATTTTGAGATAAACTTAAAAATATTTTACATCAAAATTATATATTATGATCAAATTTAAAAGTGCACCTTAAATGGATTGTTTATGGTTGCAACCTCATAAAAATCGCACCCTTTAAAAAATGACAGAAACAGCCACATCCATTTTTCCAACTTCCCAAAGATATTATTTTCTGCAAGAGTCGTGCATTCCTCGGGCTGTATCGATTAAATCACAAAATTCTTATTTTTTAATTATTTTTATTTTGAAATTTTTGTTATTTTTATATATTTTATTTATATAACTTTTTTTGAAACACTCTAACGCTTCCTCCAAATTAACTAAAGCAACCAACTACGATTTTTTACGAAACTAAAGAAAGCTCTTAAGCAAATCTGACACTCCTCATACATTTTAAATCACACTGCTAATCCGAATAATATTCATTTTTGTAGCCTAGTCTAAGTAAAAAAGTTGATTTTTTTAAACAAAAGTACCTTGACTTGCCTTTTTATATTCTCTCTCTCAACCAATCCGACATAAAAATGTCACGAGACTAACACAACTTGTATATCAAAAGACATTTTGAGCAATAGAATAGAAATCGGTCTAGCACAAATTTAATAGGCCAATACATTTTGCTACCCACATTGTGCGCAGACTAGCACATTTTGAAGATCACAAGTTGGTTTGACACAAAGATGACACATCATTATGTCGGATCGGTATATTTTAGGAGAGAAACGTAGGTTAAAATGGGGGAGTATTTTAGTTTAAAAAAAAAAACAACTCTTTTATTTGGAGATGGATGTAAGAATAAACATTATTAAAATTAATAATATAATTTGAAAAGTATTTAGGTGGGGGAATACCTAGAAAATAGGGTACAGGGTATCCATAATTTTTCATGTTCCTTATGTATTTGATTGTCCTCATCTCTAACTAAAGGTCATTCAATTGTATACCCTACAATTTTGGTCTTAATTTTAATGCCCTATTTTGTTCAAATGAAATACCTGAAAATTTCAATAATTTTAAATAAAATTTTTGTTAATTTTAACTTTGATCTCGTGCTGTTCTAATTCACACGAGTTTGCCTTTCCTTCCCTTGTGATACTAGCGTCTAGGTAAAAATGATACGAGTGTTGTAATTCAAGAATACATGTGTGTCATAATATAAATCATAAAATTGGCTATTCATACATGATATTTCTTAGCATTTAAGATGGAGTATCCCGAAAGAAGAAATTTAAAGATTCAAAAATGGGTAGGGATTTGGGGTCACTTTTGGTTTGGGTGACATTGTTCTCTAAAAAATATTTTCACATGAAAAAATTCTCTCATGTAGTTAAGTGTTGGAATATTTTACTATATATACGTATTAGTTTACTTACTATTATTACTACTACTACGTACGTATAATTAGTAATAATTACCTACTACTAACCTAACCTAACTA